CAGCCAAACCAATGATTTAAAAATAATGGCTAAAGATTGTTTTCTAAGGGAAGCTAACATATATAAAAAATCCTAGTGGTAAATTTCTGAAGCTGCTCAGATGTTTTTTTTCCTGAGATCTTTACTCAATGACAGCCATAGCAATGACCACCCACACCTGATTCCCATCTAGCATTAACTTAAAACTGAAATATATAGGATAAATTAAGATAGTACATTTCAGAACATGCTTCACACATGAAAAGTGCAGCAGCAACCATTAGCCTTAATGGCCTTAACATATTATTTCACAAAGTTTATCTACTCCACGTATGGCTGAAATTATTTGAGATCAGTGTCTATAAAAAAATAAATAGACATGGATAAGCATTAATTGTTTTATTGCGGACATGACTATGGCCATTACCTGTTTTGTTGCAGACATGAAGACTATGGCTTATAGTACCTAGCAGCAACCATGGTTTTTTTCCTTATCATCTCTTTCATAGAGTTCAAATCATACTGCTGAGGCAAACAAGAATAAAGGTAGTAATTTCTTAGTGGACTTAGACATTCCACTTGAACTGAAAACTGAGACAAAAATTGAATACCTTTGGTGGTATAAATGTTGGAGGTTTATGTCCTTTCTTTTGCTTAAGAAGCTTTTCACATAGCTTTTCATGTCTACCAGTTTCTTTGACCCACTGCAGTACAAGGGAAACAATGGTACGCTACTTAGACTATGTCTGCAAAGTATTTTTAGAAACAATGCTGAAAAAGAGCCCCCTTCCACGCTGATAGAAATTTGGATACTATATTTTATAAAATCTCTAGTTTGATTAGAATTTTAGGTTATGCTGATGGATAGAAGTCAATTCCAAAATCATTAGGCAAGAAAAAACAAAGGCTAAGCGCACTTACAATGAAGCCATTTGTTAAATTTTCTGTTTTTCCATGTGCATTATCAGCTTTCTCGAGAGCACATGCAGTAGCAGGATCCTCTGACATATATACCTCATTGGAAAGAGGGATTTGTTCAGATCCAGGGATATTGTAAATCCTAGAATCGGGTGAAAGGGGCCAAATCGAGGAGAGTGCAGCCTCTAGGAGGAAGGGGGGCTCTTACCTATAACAAAGGAGAGCACCCGGAGTGGAGCCCAGCGCACGAGCAGCGGCAGGAGGATTTGGTGTTAGCCGCTGGAACTCCAAACCCTAACGAATCATGCACGCAGATCCGGAGCTGCAACCGATGGGGAGTGAGGATGGGCCACATCTTGCGTCGACGCGGAACTGCAGGCGATAGGGCATCCGTGGTTAGGGTTCCGGCGGACGGCGGCGGGCGGCGGCGGGTGTTAGCATGGTAGGCTGCGGCGACGAGGCTCGGCCTGGGAGGCAGCGGCAGCGAGGCTTGGCGTCCGTGGGAGGCGGCAGCGGCGGGCGCACTCGCAGGTCGCGCGTGTATGGGGCGCGGGGCTTTTTCCTTTTTGTGCTGTAGGCGAGAGGGGGAGAAGGGGAGTATATTCTGAGGGGGGGTTTTTCGTTTCACCGGCCAGTCCACGCTACGGATGGATTTGGCTCCATGCGAAAAGCCTGTTTCACTCCCGCGCATGCATCTTTTTGGTGAAAAGATCCGAAGGCGGAGTAGGGCAGGACCGTACACACTTTCGCCAACACTTGAGTTGTTGGCTCGGTTAGGCTAAGCCGACACTTATTGTGTCTACAAATGTTTGCCGACAGTTTTAGTGTCCTCAGAGTAATGCCGACAGTTGATTTGTAGCCATACAACATCATTGCCGACAAATTATAGGACATTAAAAGGTTGTACAATTACCAACAGATAATGTGTAGTTGAAACCACCCCTTTGCCAACACATAACTGTAGGCAATTGTGTGTCATGGTGTAGTGACTTGCGTATCCGCTTATCAAAGGCTTACCACCCAGTGCGTTCAGAGAACACACAGTCGACATGGGTTTACGGGAAAGCCTATGATTTCTGGATATTAAGGGCCTAGTTGAGTATCTGTTTCAAAACAGAGAGGTGCATTGTAGCTGTTAAATCTAATGGCAACTGACCGTGATGATGAGGCACGCTCTATGCACTGATCTGTGATGGAATGGGAAAAGGAAGAGGAAGTTAAGTTTAAGACATAAGGTGAGATCAAGGGGGAGAATGTTAGGTTGATCTCCACCAATTGGCTCAACGGCCAATTGTGCCCTTGATATGCGCCCTGATCGGGGTCGCTCAGCCTTTCTACTGGCTGATGGGCCCCCGTCGCATAGTGCCATAAAAGGACGGTGGGGGCTGGGGCACAAGACATGAGATTCACCGCAGCCGCCAGCCCCACCTTGATGTCGTAACCCCAATCCGATCTAGAAAGGGGAGCTATAAGCGACGGGAAGCGCAATCGCCTTCAGCGCCGCCACCACCGCCTCTACGCCACACCGGACGTCTACACTACGTCGGACGCTACTGCTTCTACTACCCCGACACCCTCTGTCACGACTACGCCATGGACGGCTCGTCATCCTCCAAAGCCGATGGTCAGATACACCTACACATATCTCCCTCTCTCACTGTCTCCTTCTCCTGACTCATGTTCTAGGCCGATTTTGAATCAACCAGTAAGCGATTTACCCTCCTATCTACACCTAGATGATCCCTAGGGCTTAACATCTATATCCATAAAAAGTATATTATGTTACCTTAGTATTTATATATTGGAGTATAGATAGATTATTAATGAGAGGCTAATAGAGATGCTCTTAGTCGAGTCAAGTTTGTCACTTGAAACATCTACCACCATTAGAGCCCACTAGTTCATCATGATCATTTGTAGGTATGGAAAATGACAAAACCAAAGTATCACAACTAAGTGCCCCATTGCTTCTCAGAATTTTGTGGGTCATTACGTTAGGCATGACTCTCTAGTGGCTTCCACTTTGTCTGAAAACATATCAATGGCCTTCAATTCAAGGTAGAAAATTAGTACATTTTTCACTCTAATCCATATGGACTGAGAGGATCAGTTTATGAAAAGGATGCCTAAACAGAGAGCGGGCACCTACCATGATGCACTCACGACTCTAAAATCTGAATTTAGAACAAAGTTCATAACTTCATATCGTCTGACAACTGAAATGTGCATGTGCTTAGCATTGGATTTGCAGAGTAGTGCTTTAAACATTTGGTTACACTATACCAGGGCCCAATTACTAGGGTCACGCTTGTAGGCACTGTAGTGTGGTTAGAGCCATAACTTGGATGATGTTAGGTGATCCAGTGACTTAAGGAAAACCCTGCTCTTAGTCGAGTATAGATTATCGAGAGGCTAATAGAGATAATGCTCTTTGTCGAGTCAAGTCTGTCCGCTCGAAACATCTACCACTATCAGCCCACTAATTCATCGTGATCGTCGTTCGTAGGTATGGAAAACGACAAAACCAAAATATCACTACTAAGGGCCCCATTGCTTCTCAGAAGTTTGTGGGTTATACAGCTATACCATGGCCCAATAACTAGGGTCACGCCTGCAGGCACTGCAGTGTGGTCAGAGCCATAACTTGGATCATGTTAGGTGATCCAGTGACTTTCTTAAGGAAGAATCTGCTGGCAAATTAAGGCAAAGATCCAACAAAACTGAATTGGATGTAGGATTGTCTGGTGACATAAGGCCCAAGCACATTGAGCATGCTGGCAACCTGGATGCTTGCCGTGTTAAAAATCATCCTTGACCCACGCTGCCCACAGCAGTTCTTGGGCCACACTTACGCAAGCACCGCCCTAACCCACCGAAGAAAATCTTTTGAGGCCCAACAATTCTTGTGCCAAGCCAACAAATTCTACTTGCTCCATCCTCGACTCCTCGCCGCCGACGCTGCCGAGTGCCACACTTTGCTGTTCATAGGTCGCCACAGGGTCGGTACTCGCCAGTCACTAGAGCAAGCGGAATAGCCTAAGCGGGGCATGCTTCACTGCTCCCCTCGGGCTTAGGATCCCATCCTCTCTCCTCCAAGGCTCGCAGCATGAGCAGACGGTTGAGGCGTTTTCTCCGTGGCCTTGGCTACTGTTGTCTCCTTGAATTGGTAGGCTCCCTTGCGCCATGGTCATTTTTAGCGGAATTTATTGCTTCATGTATGTAATACCGATAGTTGGTACAAAATATAGGTACTGATGATCCACGCACGCTCGCACTTACAGAAGTTTTATAAGTCTAATATGCGACAAGCTAATTCAGATTTTCCATATGCAGATCAGTTGCATCTGTAGGGAAGACTTGTACATACTTTCATATCTGCAAATGCGACTTTGAAGTTCTGTGTTGAATACACGTGATGGTCGTGCTATTGATAATGTCATGAAAGGACAACGAAGTTGGTACTGTCATGCAAGGACATTGAAAGGAAGAGTGAGTTTGCCATATCTTTCTGTTCTCATATATGAGTGTCAATTCACATTAGTCTGCTGCCTACTAGAATCATGTGCTAGCCTGATTATGACAAAAAGTGCAGCAACGTGTTGCAGTTGAAATCATGTATTAGTCTTATGGCTACTGGAGCCACTGATCGAGCCATTGGCAATTGATATCCAATTATCAATAGACTTGTCGACAACCACAACTATGTTCTTATAGAACCTTATCTTTAATATAGGGACCTGATGCAATACCCTATATGCATCTACAGAAAATATAGAAGGGATACAAGTCATCATATAGAAGGATACAAGCCATCTGGTCTACAATACATTGTGCATATTACACAGAAAATGAATCTGTGTGATACAATCTCATCCAAAGATATGAAATTAAATGCAACTTCTAAATATATGATATCTCAGGTGCAACAGTATATAAGCAAGCCCTCTATAATCTTACCCTAATGCAGTTAGCGTCGCCTAAACGAAGATACAAATTCTTGTTCCAAACTACAGCATCTCGAGGTCTCTTAAGGTGGTATATGTGCAGCAATAATAAGATCGATATGTTTAAGTGAGTTCTTAGATTTTCCACATAGCAAAGGCTCAATATCTCCATCTTTTTCGAGTAAATGATGTCTTTTTCTCAGCCTCATTGTTCTTAAGAATTGCAACCTCATCTCCACTTCTTTCATAGACGGTCGCTCTCCTCCATTTACCCATTAAGCATGCTTCTGCAAGTGAGGCAATTTCACTAATCTCTCCCTGGTCTGCTTCTTCCACAACTTGAGTATCCATTATTTCAATAAGAGACCCTTGGTGAAGTCCTTCAATGAAGAAATGGGACAAACTTTGCTTTGCACCTAAATCATTAATAAAAATTGGCGTCTTTCTTGTCAAGAGTTCCACAAGTATTACTCCAAAACTGTATACATCACTCTTCTCCGTTAGTTGACCGGTATGATAATACTGTGGATCCAAGTAACCAAATGTTCCTTGAACAATTGTCACCACATGGGTCTCATCAAGTGAAAGAGATCTTGAAGCACCAAAATCTGAAACCTTTGTGGTGAAGTTGTCATCCAAGAGTATATTTGAAGACTTCACATCTCTGTGAAAAATTGGTATTGTAGCTGCTGAGTGTAGATAAGCTAGAGCCCCGAATGCTTCAACTGCAATCCTCAGGCGATCATCCCATGAAAGCAAGCATTTTACTGTAGTATCCGTGTGTAGAAGTTCATACAGAGTGCCATTTGAAATGAACTCATAGACAAGCAAGGGAACTTCATCTTCTAGGCAGCAACCAAACAGTTTCACCACATTACGATGGATGATTTGGGACAAAATGACAACTTCATTATAAATTGGTCTATCTCTGTTTGCTCCACTGTTTTGGATTTTTTATGGCCACCACACGTTGGTCTGATAGAATCCCTTTATAAACTGTTCCATGTCCTCCACGACCAAAACACGAGTAGCATCAAAGTTGTTAGTCGCCTCCTCTAGTTCCTCCAATGAGAATATCTTTGTTTTGCTTGCAGCGCTTTCATCTGAGATCAGTTGCTCCAATAGCAAACCTTGATTTTTCTTGAAGTATGCTCGCCGAAGTCTCTTTTGGATGCCTTTCTTCCACTTATTGGCAAGTCGAATTACACCCAATCCAATAAATATGGAGCCAAGGCCACAACCAACTGCAGTTCCAATTGCAATACCTATATGCATTTGTTGTTATGAAATCATGTTAACGTTTACAAATTATAATTTCAAGGGAGTTTGTATGCTATGGCTTACCTAAAAGAAGATTTCGTTGCTTAGCTGATGTAACACAATGCCGCTTGATGAAATCAAATTCTTGGGTATGAGAGCATGGTGTGCACATATAGCTTCCAGGAATGTTTTGACATGTACCGTTGCAGTAGTTTGGCAGTGAGCATTCATCAATATCTGTAGACAGTCAATTCTCGTTATTTACATATGTTGATCATCATAATCTGTGGTTGCATACTTGCATACCAAGCCGATGAAAAGGAATCTTCTGTCTAAATCTGCCTAGTCAGATTTAACTACAAATTACAAATTTTTTAGAGTATGTGAATTTGTTAATTTTCTTTCCATTTTCGGGTGTGAACTATGTTATGTTGTAGCACATAGTGAAGGAGGAAAGGTATGTACCTGTGCAGCCGTCCTGTATGTATGGATTTCCTGTGTAGCCAGTAGAACACTTGCAACGATATCCCATAAATGTTTTCCCATGGATCACGTTTTTGCAATCACTGTTTCCACTGCGGCATGAACAATCTTCTTCAAGCCCGAAAGGGAAGGGAATGGGCTTGGGGTTGTAATCTGCTTCATAACAATAGATTGATAAGAGTAAGAACAAGAAGATAAAATGTTAAATATTTTCTTTTTTTTAGAGAAAAGAAAGCAGGGAGCACCTAAATACAATTGTTGCATGCATCCTTCGGAAAGGTTAGCATTGGCTGTGTAATAAATATTATTATCATTGTAGCAGTAGCAGCTGTACCCTCCATATGACTCATTTTGGCAATAGCTGTCGGTGGCACAAGCATAACTATGTTCTTATAGAACCTTATCTTTAATACAGGGACCTGATGCTATACCCTATATGCATCTACAGAAAATATAGAAGGGATACAAGCCATCATATAGAAGGATACATGCCATCTGGTCTACAATACATTGTGCATATTACACATAAAATGAATCTGTGTGATACAATCTCATCCAAATATATGAAATTAAATGCAACTTCTATAATCTTACCCTAATGCAGTTAGCGTCGCCTAAACGAAGATACAAATTCTCGTTCCAAACTGTAGCATCTCGAGGTCTCTTGAGGTGGTATATGTGCAGCATTAATAAGATCGATATGTTTAAGTGACTTCTTAGATTTTCCACATAGCAAAGGCTCAATATCTCCATCTTTTTCGGGTAAATGATGTCTTTTTCTCAGCCTCATTGTTCTTAAGAATTGCAACCTCATCTACAATTCTTTCATAGACGGTCGCTCTCCTCCTTTTACCCTTAAGCATGGTTCTGCAAGTGAGGCAATTTCACTAATCTCTTCCTGGTCTGATTCTTCCACAACTTGAGTATCCATTATTTCAATAAGAGACCCTTGGTGAAGTTCTTCAATGAAGAAATGGGACAAACTTTGCTTTGCACCTAAATCATTAATAAAAATTGGCTTCTTTCTTGTCAAGAGTTCCACAAGTATTACTCCAAAACTGTATACATCACTCTTCTCCGTTAGTTGACCGGTATGATAATACTCTGGATCCAAGTAACCAAATGTTCCTTGAACAATTGTCACCACATGGGTCTCATCAAGTGAAAGGGATCTTGAAGCACCAAAATCTGAAACCTTTGTGGTGAAGTTGTCATCCAAGAGTATATTTGAAGACTTCACATCTCTGTGAAAAATTAGTATTGTAGTCTTTGAGTGTAGATAAGCGAGCCCCGGATGCTTCGGATTTGCAATCCTCAAAGCGATCATCCCATGAAAGCAAGCATTTTACTTTGTAGTATCCGTGTGAAGAAGTTCATATAGAGTGCCATTTGAAATGAACTCATAGACAAGGGAACTTCATCTTCTAGGCAGCAACCAAACAGTTTCACCACATTACGATGGATGATTTGGGACAAAATGACTCTTCTCCGTTTGGTCCACTATTTTGGATTTTTTATGGCCACCACCCGTTGGTCTGATAGAATCCCTTTATTGTAACACCCTAAAATTTGCACTTTTGAAAATAGGTATAAAATGATTTAATTCTGTATTTTTTTTGCTCATGAAATATAGGGAAATAATTTTTTTTAAATTAAAATTCATCATAAGGTTTAGCAACATGTTTGTGCATACATGCCCTTACATTTGATATATTTGGGTGAGTGGTTTTGATTGAAAATTTAAAATAGTTAAAATTGCTCTTTGTAATTAAAAATGGTTTTGAATTAAAAGAAAAGAAAATTTTGAAAATAAAAGAATTTAAAAAGTTGTAAAAATAATTTTTGGGAAGACTTACTAAAATTCCTTATTTTTACTTGAGCTGAAAAAGTATATTTGAAACCTCATTTGAATTTGACTTTGGTCATATTTGAATTGGCTTTGAAAACAAAATAGAAAAGAAATGGCAAAGGAATTAAAATTCTCATTTCTCTATTTAGGCCCGAAGGCCTGCTTCTCTTGCTCCCCGCGTAGCCCAGTGGCCGGCCTACCTTGGCCTGCCCTCTCCTCTCCCTCTCTATCCCGCGTGGGCTGCTTGGTATCTCTTCTCTTGCGCGGCCCGAGCAACAGCCCACCTCGCCTTCGGCCGCAGCCCGCTCCCGCCTCCAGCTCCCTTTGGCCCAGCGCACCGGCCCAGGCCGAAGCCAGTCCGTAGCCGCAGCCCAGTTCAGTGGCAGCAAGCGCCCGCGCGCATCCCCTCTCTGGCTGCTAGCCCTGGCCCACGCCCGCTCGTACTGACCGGTGGATCCGCCTTGTCAGGCTCATCTTCTACCTCGCGTAGCCGGCTCGGACTTCACCGAGCAGTTCGTCTTCGCCCCGTCCTTGCTCGGCGTGCGCCCCAAGCCGTGCGAGTACCCTCTCTCTCTCCCTCGCGGACTGCCCTGGCCCACCTGTCAGCTCTATCTTCTAGCTCGTAACTGGCACAGACTCCTTCGCCATTACCGTGTCCTTCTTCGACACGAGTCACCTCGGTACCTTGCGCCCTAAGCTAACCCGGCCCTTAAATAGCAGCCTCCCGGTGCCATGCGTCCCCCACCGTGCCCTAGATTGAACCATAGCGCCGCCAGGAGCCCGAGTCTCGCAGCACCGCATCCGCCGAAGGAGCCTGACGTCGCCGAGCCGCTTAGTTCGTTCTCTGTCAAGGTAAGATCATCTACGAGCTTCGCATTGGATTCTAAAGTGCACAGAGCCCCTTAATCCTCTCTCTCCCGCTCTGTTCTGGCTTGTTCCGCGTAGGAGATGCTCCGCCGTGAAGAAGCCGGGAGTCCGCCGCCGCCTCCATACTTCGCCCTCCAGCGCCGCAGTTTCTTTCGCCGAGACGCCGAGCCGCCAAAGCCTCTAACGCCAGCGTCCGCCATCCATGCCCGAGCTCGCGCTGCTGCCCAGTTGAATCTCGCCGAGGAGCCGAGCCTGTCCGCTGAAGCCGTCGCGGCATCTTGCTGTTTCTCCGTCAACTCGAGCTAGCCGACGAGCTTTACCCTGTGGAAGTCGCTGCTGCTCTGCCAAGCCCGGTGCTGCCTCCGGTCCATCCCCATTCAGTGTCCAGGTGAGCTCGCCGTCGCTCTCTCAGTATCCCTGCTCTCATTCTGGTTAACCGGGGCCCTAGGCCTTTTCTCTAGCTGTTCTGGCGAGCTCTGGTCGCTGCTGTACATGGTGCCACCGCCGTGAGCCGTGCATGCGCCGCCGTGATTCAAATCGCTAGTTAGCTTGATGACATCATCTCCAACGTCATCGTGACATCACTCGTATTTATGGCCGTTTTCCTTTGGAAAAATAAATCTAGAAATACGACTCCAAATACACCCTTGTGGACATGGTCCATGGTGGACTGATCTCACAGCACATCCACCGGTTCACGGGCCGCAGACTCGGTCCACAGCATAGTGCACGCGCTCTTTGCGTTCTAACCCCTGTACTTTTCCGTAATCAATCTACTGTTTTCTGAGTCTTGTATATCTCTCAAGCTAGCCCCTGTCATCTATGGTTATTTCTGGTTTAGCCCAGTCAGCTTCCGCAGCCAGCCCAAGCCGCGCACGCTTTGCAGTTAAGGCCCTCTGTTTTCGGCAAATTAATCCGCGGTCCAAAGCGCAATCATAGATTACGTTTTCTTCTTTTGAAAGCGTAGTTCCGTCGGTTTAGATCCAAAATACGTTTTCACTTATTTACAGATTTGCCACTGATTTTGTTTTAGCCATAAAATCTCCGTTTTAACTCCGATTTGATCCGTTCAAATTGCGTTAGGTTTGTAATTTCATAATCTACATGTTTATACTACTGTTAGATGTGTTTTCAACTTTTAAAATTCATGATTAGATTTAATCTATTACTTTAATAAAGGAGATCTTGCTTAAATCATATCTTCTGCGTTTTAACTCCGTTTAAGCCCATTTCAGTTGTGTCAGATTCATAGTAACGAGATCTCCGCGTTAGTAATAGTGTTTATCACGTCACTAATACTGGAATTTCGTGGTTTGAATCATATCTTGATTAATGATTATGCAACTGGATTTTATAAATCAAATATGATTTGTTTTACTTTAGTATTATATTTCAAACTTAAATTTGACTTAATTTCTATTATCTATAAAATATCTTATATATGTTTTCATATAAATAAAACACATGAAGCTAATAGTTTTATGAGTAGATCTATCGGTAGATGTATCTTTTTCACCGTAGTCCCGATTAGTGTGCTTTTCACGTCTGTATGTTCGTAGCGAGACGTAGATTCGTTTTACAAACTTTCCATCTTGATTTTATGTTTGGTGTACTGTTCTAATTTAGATCTAATGTTTGCTTCATGTATGATTGTACGGATGTTTGTGTGGTGCTTTATGATTACGTCCAGTCGGTGAGATATACGTGGTGATCAATAAGAAGAAGAAGAACGTTGAAGATTAAAGCTTACCGAAGGATCGGTGTTTAAGGCAAGTATAGCATGGGATCTTCCTTGTTGTCCTATACACCATTAATCACTTATCATACTGCATGTGTCTACCTTGACTGCCACTAAGGATATCCTAGTCTTTTGTACTTATACCTTGTTACCTTTGGGTTATTGCATTGGGTAGTATGATGCTAGTGCTCAACTACAACCATGATCTTGTAACTTGACTAATGGAGTATGCAATAAACATTAAAAGATGCTTTTTAGCAACATGGAACAAGGGGGCTAGAGCATTGGGCTGTTTTATTGTGCTCTAGATTCCTCTCCCTAAGTACTTATCTGTAAGTGATTTATCCGGAACTTACAGTACAGCTGTGAGGGCTACATGGCTCTGGCTTTAGCTCAGTATGAGGACCTTTTCTAGCTTGTTAGTGATTACCTTTATGGCGCAAGAGGGGTGTGTTCCGGGTTGGATATAGTGCGGCCTCTGTCCGTCAGTGTATAGGCTGCGCGTCATTGTGCCTGTCGGAAGGGGAGCTCTACATTCGCAGGCCACAGAAACCTAGCGGCCCTAACTTGTTAGACGAACCTTTGAAATGCTTCATAGTGAACCCTGCCGACCTTCCTTGGTAGTGGGTCAAGAGGCTGATCACCTCGGGCGAAAGGGTAAATCACGACTCACAGTGAAAGTGTACAACCTCTGCAGAGTGTAAAATTGGTATATCAGCCGTGCTCACGGTCACGAGCGGCCTTGGAACATTTACGGAATAGATGATGAACACTGATGATGCGGATGATGAAGATGCTCACTAATGGTTAATTGTTTATGCTATTCATTATTCATGTTTACCTGATCATGTGTTATGGGTTTGTGATGAACTTGTTGCCACCCAATTGCTAAAAGATGACTCATTAAAAGCTAATCACAGTTAAACCAGTGTCAGCCTTTTGAGCCTCATGAACCCCATGTTATATTTGTTGAGTACGACATGTACTTACGCTTGCTTTACTTTTCAAATATTTGGATGAAAATCCCGGATGGGTACCAGATTGCTAGAGTTTGGAGGAATTAGCCTTGTGATCAACCAGTCAGTTGTCCCTGTGGATGTGGAGTCTTCGCCTGAAGATTGGAGTTATCTTTCCGCTGTCTATACTATGAGGTTATATTCTTTATACTAAACCGCTATGTATTTAAGCATTGTCTTTTGGTATCACCCTTATTTGTAGCTATATGTGAGATTTGACTTCCTGGGCTCACATATGGTGTGTATCTGGTTTTGTTCTTAAAACCAGGTGCTACATTTATAAGTTGTTCCATGTCCTCCACGACCAAGAACACGAGTAGCATCAAAGTTGTTAGTCGCCTCCTCTAGTTCCTCCAATGAGAATATCTTTGTTTTGCTAGCAGCGCTTTCATATGAGATCAGTTGCTCCAATAGCAAACCTTGATTTTTCTTGAAGTATGCTCGCCGAAGTCTCTTTTGGATGCCTTTCTTCCACTTATTGGCAAGTAGAATTACACCCAATCCAATAAATATGGAGCCAAGGCCACAACCAGATCCACAACCAGTTCCAATTGCAATACCTATATGCATTTGTTGTTGTTATGAAATCATGTTAACGTTTACAAACTATAATTTCAAGGGAGTTTTGTATGCTATGGCTTACCTAAAAGAAGATTTCGTTGCTTAGCTGATGTAACACAACCCGCTTGATGAAATCAAATTCTTGGGTATGAGAGCACGGTGTGCACCTGTAGCTTCCAGGAATGTTTTGACATGTACCTTTGCTGTAGTTTGGCAGTGAGCATTCATCAATATCTGTAGACAATCAATTCTCGTTATTCATTATATATGTTGATCATCATAATATGTGGTTGCATACTTGCATAACAAGCTGATGAAAAGGAATCTCCTGTCTAAATCTGCCTAGTCTAATTTAGCTACAAATTACAACTTTGTTGGAGTATGTGAATTTGTTAATTTTCTTTCTATTTTCAGGTGTGAACTATGGTACTGCTGTAGCACATACTGAAGGAGGAAAGGTATATACCTGTGCAGCCATCCTGTATATACGGATTTCCTGAGTAGCCAGAAGAACACTTGCAACGATATCCCATAAATATTTTCCCATGGGTCACGTTTTGGCAATCACTGTTTACACTGAGGCATGCATAGTTACTACTTCTCCAATGCATAGCTTGTTCACAAGATGAATTTGTAACTGCCCATCGTATAATAACAATGTCATATTCCATAGAAAAATCAAATTCGTCTTCCACAGGGCCGTCCATGTACACTCCTCCACTTTCGGTGGCCTGAGCTATTATTACTTCTTTCCAGGAGCTAGCATTGTTTAGCTTGTTGCTAACTGTCAGAGTCCCGTCTTCTACTGACAGACCAGTCACGTGATAGTGTGTATATGCTGTGCTAAAAAGCGTCTCATTTGCAGCGGTACAATTAAGTCGGAACCTTTCGTTTCCGAAACAATCTTCTTCAAGCCCGAAAGGGAAGGGAATGGACTTGTTCCCACATGACCTCCGGCAGTGTTCTTTAGGCTTGGGGTTGTAATCTGCTTCATAACAATAGATTGATAGAGTAAGAACAAGAAGATAAAATGTTAAATATTTTCTTTTTTTTAGAGAAAAGCAAGCAGGGAGCACCTTGTTGCATGCATCCTTCGGAAAGGTAAGCATTGGCTGTGGAATAACCATTGTGGCAGTGGCAGCCGGTGGCACAAGCATAGCTTGCCTTGTTCATCTGCGCGATTTTGCAGCTTGGTTGGTCCATGATGGCAACCTCAAGTTCAGCGTCATAAATCTTGCTTGCATTTGTCCAACTTGAGAAAAGATCAGTCGCATTGTCCATGTAATAATCTCCAATCGGCATGAAAGCCATGATGCCAGGGTGCCGAGGATCTGACTGTGCTGCCATATTACCTGCCCGAACAATTGTTCCTTGAAAGCCTGAGATGTCGTTTTGTAGACTGATGGAACAGCAACCAAACCCATTTCAAGGCCCTTGATTCGGCAATACCTTGCTGTGGCACCTGCTCATGCAGGAGCCGATAGGGTTCCTTACAAAATCGAACAAGTCAACATCGAAATCGCAGCCAAGGAAGAAGAAATCGTTATAATAACTGGAGATAGTAATACCCTTGGCGGGGGCACTCCAAGATATATTGTGGGTGTTCGTCCCAGATTCTTCCAAGCTACTGTTGAAGAACATAGCTGGGATGTATACCGAGGAACCATAAATGCAACTTTGGAGGTTGAGTGGTGAGGTTGCAAGTAAGCTCGAACTGGAAAATATTTATTCAGTATGCTTACCAAGGTGACACAAAACTTAAAGTTTTTTACGAAATTAAATTATTTCTTATTCTTATGACATAGATGAAGTACCGAAAATCTATATAATTTTGTGTAAAAAACAAATATGAAGCAAAATACATCAAATATTAATCAAGAATCTTGCTTCTTAGCCATGAGAACCAGATAAATATTGTGGAACATGTAAAGTAATTCCTAATAGCTTGTATCACTACTACATACAAACCATTTTTTAGAGGCGCCTTCTTTTTTGTGTAGAGGCGGCTCTATCAAAATACGCCTCTAAAAATGGTTTGCACTATAAATCGATTTTAGAGGTAGCTAGGCTTTTAAGCCACCTCTAGAAATGCTTCCTATTTTTAGAGGTTGGTTGGCAAACCAAACCGCCTCCAAAAAATCAATTTTTAGAGGCACATAGACTTTCCATACGCTCCTAGAAATGGAGGCATTTCTAGAGGTGGTTGGGAATTCTAGCCGACTCAGAAATGGATTTTTTAGAGGCAGTTGACAATTTGGCCTGCCTCAAAAATGTTTTGTACCAAAGTTTTAGTACTCAAAGAGATCTACAATGTTGTAGCTGACGATTTTCCATTTGAAATCATTTAAGGTTAGAAAATTTTGTTTTAAGTTTTTATAATTTGAAATTCGATATTAATTTTTCAAATGTCCTTAAATGGAGAAACAAAACCAAAGTTGCAGTACTCAAATGGATCTACAACTTTGTACATGACTACATTTTGTAGTGCCCAGGAATTATGTTTGAAGTTTTTAGATTTTGAATTTTTTTTTAAATTCAAAGTATCTCGGAGGGAGAAATGACCTAAACCAAAGTTGTAGTGCTGGAAGATATATGCACTTTTTAGTTGATAACTTTTTTATTTGAAATCATTTAGGATCCAAAATTTATGTTTTAAGATTAATGATTTTGATATTCATATTTTTTTTTGAATTTTTCAAATGACCTTGGAAGGAGAAAGTACATAAACCAAAGTTGTAGTACTGGAAGATGTATGCAACTTTATAGTTGATGACTTTGTCATTTGAATTCATTTAGGACCCAAAATTTATGTTTTAAGATTAATGATTTTGCTATTCATTTTTTTTTACATTTCCCAATGACTTTGGAGGGAGAAACGACCTACACCAAAGTTGTAATTGAAGTGATTTAAAGCTTTTCAATTCAAACTTTTTTATTTAAGTTCGTTTAGGATCTCAAATATGCATTACAGTGTTCGCTAAAGTGAATACAAAAGGAAAATATCAACCACTTAGTTACAAGTCACTCTGAGGCGCATTGGTAAGATGCAACATAACTAATAATTCTGGAAAAATGATTTCTAGAGACAGTTGAGTTCTAGTATATCCCTAACTTTTTAGAGTTTAAACTAGATTTCTTTGTCCTGTTTGGTGTCTTGGAATTAAGAGAAATTTAAAATAATCTAATAATAAAATAAGAAGCACTTTCTAGATATTGGTTTTAATTACATGGAATCCAAACATGCATAATGAAAAAGTGGACGCTAAAATTAGAAGCAACAGATGAAATCCCTGTCTTATTTTTGCTCATGTTTCCCCACTTTACCAATATAGCGGACTGACTATATACTCCCACTGTCCATAAAAGAATGCAATTCTAGTATAATACCAAGTTAAAATATTTTAAATTTAACTAACTATAAATAAAAATATTAATATAATATTAAATACGTATCATTTGATTTGTCATAAGATATATTTTTATACTATATTTATCTAATGCCATAAACATTAATATTTTTATCTATATATTTAATTAAACTTTAGACACATTAACTTAAAATTACACCTACTCGCACATTCTTTTGTGGACCGACTACATGGTCGATGGAGTTACATGGTCGATGGAGTTTTGAGTCATCTCACGGGTTACCGTCTCTGTATTATGAGCAACAGCTGAAATGACTGAAACTAATTCAGCGTTTAGTCTGTCCATACATTTCTCAATCCTTACAGCAAGGCTGATGTGATAGTGGCGTTTACTCTTTCTACAGCTAGCAATTGCGAGGACCGACTATAGTATGGTGTATGGAACAGTATGCTGGGCAGCAGAAGCTTTTGTCTACTTGACTCTCTAGAGCGTGCTCCCTTCATCTTAGAATTACCGTCTCAGAATTATTGTCATTCTAGGAATGAGCACGACAACCAATAAGCAAGGAAAAAAGACCAAAATAGCCCCACCATTTCTCTGTCATGTTCTCTTCTCCCGTTCACATTCAAAATTTCAGATCCACATGGTGGCTGGTGGCCGCCAAGCCTCGCCTCGCCTCGCTTTGCTGCTGGTCCATTCCTTGTTGAGCACTGCAAAGGGAGGCTGTAGCCCACTCCAGATCTAGCGACTCTGTGCCCTCTCCATCCGAGCCTTCTCTCTAACGGTGAGAGAGGAGATGCTACTGACGGCCATGGGAGGAGCAGAGGAGGGAGGGGCCGGATCTCCGCCGCCCTGATGTAGCCTCGCCAGGCAGTGTCACCTCCACGCTGACGGAGAAGAAGAGAGGGTGTGCGCTGGCCTCCCACCGATGGAAGAGAAGAGGAGGGCGACCGGCGGAGGAGAAGAAGAGGGGGTCACCGGTGAAGAGGAAGAGGAGGGGGCGGAGGAAAATAGGAGCTAGGGAGGGAGAGACAGAGAACGACGAGGGAGGGATGGGGCAGGCGGGTAGCCACGGAAAAGGAATGTTAAGTGGGACCTATGTCTAAAACATTATTCTTTTCTGGACGTACTTCAAATTCTGCGATGATGTTTTTTTGGAACAAAGGGAGTACTAAAATATATTTAAAAAATAAATATGCATATCATTTTTCGAGGAGACAAACTTTTTTAAGTTTGACTAAGAATATAGAAAAATAGTATCAATATTTGTATCTTCAAATAAGTTATTATAAAAGTATACTCATATTCAATCTAATGATTGTTAGTATACATCATAAATATTAGTATATTTTTATACATTTAATCAAACTTAAAAATTTTGACTTCTCGGGAAGCGAGATATACATTTATTTTAGGACGGAAGAAGTACTTTAAACTTCCTCTTCAATTCAAAAGGTAGGGATCCAAGATAATGAAGAGCTGTGTAGGACAATTTGGAGCTGAAGTGTTGAACTCCCAACTCAGAGAGCGGCGCCAAATGAGCTTATCAGTCACCCTTGCCTCAAGTTTACTTCTATCAGTCGATCCCAGATGTTTAGGTACTGTACCAGCTCCCGAATTTTTTATTGTTTAGCCCTTTTTTGAATTTTTTTCACAAATATGCCCCTGGAGGTAAGATTTCAAAATCTGGACCCTTAGCTCGGCGCTATAGTTGCTGGCGCCGAGCTTACACTGCTCGGCTCGTCGTAGACGTGCCGGTGACATGGCAGGCAGCTCGGCACCGTAGATCTTGGCGTCGAGCTCGGCGTCATAGATCTTGGCACCAAGCTCGATGCCGTAGATCCTGACGCCGAGCTCGGTGCCGTAGATCTTGGCACCGAGCTTGGCGCCATGATCTATAGCACCGAGGTGGTGTTTTAACCCCGGCCCCAACCTTCCTGCCTGAGCCGTCTTCCTCTTCTTTCTCCTCCCTCTCGGGTTTTTTCTCTCCCCACTTCGCCCTACCTCATGAATCGACATATTGGACCTTAGAAACTTTGATTTGATCCGTAGATCTTTGAGAGCAAGGTATCCTCGCTCTCCTCCTAGTTTTTTTTGCATCGATTCGGTATATATTAGTCGGATTTTTCAACCTAAGAATTGTCATTACTTAGGGTTTCATGCAATTTTTAATATTTGTATTATGCCTAGGTAACCACAGCATATGTTGTTATGTTATGGGTTCATTGTTGTGCATCAAATGAGAAACCCTAGGTTTAGGGTTTAATGTTAATTGCTTTCGGTTCTTAGAACAAAATTGGTTGTATTGTAGTTATGGTTCTCATTGATATTTATTTGTGATGTTTTGATTTTTGTTTGTTAAATTACAACCGTTTTGTTAGATGCAAGAAATGTATCAGGAGGAGTTTTGGCGAAAATGGGGTCATCCTCGAGAATTATACCCCGACGCGTCTAGCAAAGATGCCCCCGTCCCTCCTGACCTTCCTATCTCTAACTGTGATTGTGGTTTCCCAGCCCACGTGTTTCAATCGAGACATCCAGACACGGCAGCGCGTTGCTTCTACACATGCAGTCGTTTTAATGTAAGTAATTATTTCCACTATCTTTTTTTCTTTATTTGTGTAAGTATGCTATTAATATTTTGTTGGAAACTTGTTGTGTAGGACTATGAGAGGCGTTTTTTCTTTTAGTGGATCGACGGTGCAGAGAAGTTTGACCCTAGGTACCTCATTTTCGATGATTGGTGGAGAGGGAGACATCCACGCGAGCACTTCAAGCGGTGGGTTCCACCCCCCTACCCCCTCACCAATGACGGCTAAGGAGAAGCACCTAGCCACAGTTAGACGACTTGAGGAACCTCCTCTGTGTGAATGCGGAGATCGAGCTGTGATAAACCCTGAGAATACGTTGGAGTTTGTGTGTCCGAACAAACACGAAGTAAGTGGAAAGTGTATCTGTTTAAATGTTTAGCTCTATGTGTGCGTGTACTAATGTCGCCTCTTTTAGGTGTATGGATTTGTGAAGTGTAGTTTTAAGGAGTGGCTCTATTGTCCTAAGAATCAATGGCCGGAGCCACCAAAGGCAAAGGAAAAGAAGAAAGAAAGGTTAATTTACAAAGCACCTACAATCAAGTGTGAATGTGGTGTTAAATCCAACTACGGTCTAGTGCCTTCGGAGCTTGGAATAGGCCATTATTGCGGCCATATGGTTGACTATGATGAGGTTGGTTATTTTTGTGGTAAAAATCGTATTTTGTTTGTTTTGCTAAGACTTATATGATATAATTTTTCGTTTGAATAGAGTACTAGGAAATGCAGGTGGAAATGTTATGATGGTCAAGCTAAATTCTTAGATGAACTGAAGGGGAGGCAAGTAATTGCACAGAAGAGGGGAAGAAACGTACACGTCTTGCGTCGTTTCTGTCATGCAACCACAATGAGCAGTCGCACGGCGTTGCCAACGTGATAGCCTCTATTGTACAAAATTATGTTAACTAAAAGAATCTAACGTATTAATAATATGTTTGAAAGAATAGTTTGAATCTTACGTCCAAGAATCTACGTGTGTTGTCGTCCCTGACTCTCGGACGAAAGCGCTCAATGTCTTCAACGGAGCATTTGAGGGTATTGCCCTGCAACAAAGTTCTCAGTAATAATACTTCTGAACAGATAGCAACAGATTTTGTTTTCTTTTATACATGAATCTAACGTATTATAAGAATGCTACGGCTAACTAAAATAGATACCTCTAACGCATAATGTAATGGTATGCAACTTAACGTAGAAAAATAAGACAATTAACTTACCACTCTGTCCAAGATCGGTCTTGCCTCCACCTGCCTTCCTGCACGAGTAGATTGGTCGTACGCCGTGTCTTCATCGTCGGAGGACTCGATGTCGGCGTAGTCATCTTCTGTCCATTGTACCCTCAGCCTACAACGTGTTGTACGTTGGTACCAAGCTTGGTACCAACTGAACTCACGGTTCATGTGCAGCTCGTTGTTGTATTCCACGTTGTCGTGCATCTCCTCCCATTGCTCAATGTAGAACTAGTGGTGCAAGGGAATGGGAGCAGCAGCTAGGAGCGGCCGAACCCTAGGAGCGCGCAAGGGAATGGGAGAGGGAGAGTGAGGAGGGCGCCAGTTGATGCATGTAGTGCAGCCGAATGGCTGGAGGAGGCCAGCCGAAAGGCCTAGCAGCTTCAGCCCAAACCAACAGGAAATGTGACCAGCCGAACGGGGCCATTATCCTAACTTGCTAAGGCTAACATTATCCTAGCCCAGTGGGTTTCCAATAAAACACACAACCAAGGCATCAGGGCTTAACAAAAAATGACGGGTCTTTTTTAAAAAGGCGGCAAGAGCTTTACCGGATTTTTATTAGACGAGGAAAAAGATAACGACCACAAATACAAAGCACAATAAGGATTTAAAACTCCAGCTACTGAAAACTAAAAACACAACTGCTACAGGGAAACAAGATGTGTCCCATCTTATTATATTCTTATATGTGTAGTGTTCTCCACCATCAATTTTCATAGCGGGAGTAAACCTCTAACACCGTTAAAAAGCTGACATTTCTTGTTTTTCTTCTCTAAAAAAACAAACTTTTTCCACACAGTTGCTTCATCTATTTATCGATTGATCCCTTTCATGCACCAGGGTTTGCACACCACGGGGATGTAGGGACAGGGACGCACACAGTGACCAACGATTATATGTCACAATTAATGATGAAAACGGTACAAAAATATTCCGAACCGACCACTTTCGTTTTCTATATTAGGATACCGTTTCCGACTTTCGCCAAACAAAAAAATTTGTCATTTTCAATTGGTTTCACAACCATTTTTTGTACTCTTTAATTGCTAAAATATAGAAATATCCCGAACCGACCGCTTCCGTTTTCTATATTGTAATACCATATTGTCATTCATTTAATGAAGGTGCACGTGCCTTGATGTCAAGGCAAAATGACGTTTACTGCGTGGGCAGACTGGCGCGATCGAGCTTACCAATTCGTCTTGCTGAAAAGTACAGCAGTCAGCAGTGCAATGTCGTCACGGCCGATGATTTCTGCGGCTGATAAGTCGGCTGAAGCTGATTTGTTGTGATGGACTATACGAGCGGTTGGGGCCATATGCGTTAGTATCTATCCGAGCTAGTGCTGATCTGGTGAAATATAACAATCACCTATCGATCACGTCAGCTCCAGTCCCTCAGCGTGGAGAAGAAACTGAAAGAGAAACAATTTTTTATAATGGTACTAGGCATATTTCTGAGTTGGGCGATGTCTACCAGCAAATAACACGTTTGTCTGATGTCCCACGACAAAATTCCCCTTTAATGAAGGTGCACGTGCCTTGATGTCAAGGCAAAATGACGTTTACTGCGTGAGCAGACCGGCGCGATCGAGCTTACCAATTCGTCTTGCTGAAAAGTACAGCAGTCAGCAGTGCAATGTCGTCATTGATCGGCCGATGGTTTCTGCGGCTGATAAATCGGCTGAAGCTGATTTGTTGTGAGAAAAAAATACTTAGAGCGAGAAATGCTCACGGAGCTCATGTGTGTTTAAAAACTTGATGGACTATACGTGCGGTTGGGGCCATATGCGTTAGTATCTATCCGAGCTAGTGCTGATCTGGTGAAATATAACAATCACCCAGCGATCACGTCAGCTCCAGTCCCTCAGCGTGGAGAAGAAACTGAAAGAGAAACAATTTTTTTAAGACGTCACCGGAGAGGCGAGAGCCCACTTGAATGATTTTCCATTAATACCGGACACTGAAAGAGAAACATGGACGTTTTCTTACTGAAAAGTGAAAAGCCAGACGAGCCCTGGAAGACTTGGTTTGATCTGTATCTTTCATGTGGAAAATTACTTGCTGCTAAAACATTCAGTGTTACCGTTTGGACTTTCCGAGATAATGAACTTGAGAAACCGGGCAAAAGAAAACATATTCGGCTTTGTCAGACTGCACAAAAAAAAATCGACACCACTTCTCTTGTCTTTAACATGCAATGAAAATCACACGCAGGCCTTCCCCAACGCTATGCTTTTGCTTGTAATTCAAGTGCCATGTAGGATCGGATAAAAAAGTAAGTGCTCTTTACTTGTTATAGTGGCTTATAGAAGCTATGTATGCTTGGGAAGAGAGAAAGTGGTCCATACTAAAAAAGAAGAGAGAGAAAATAAAGGTGAGGCATGATGAAAGCAAAAAGTTTCTATGCAAACCACAAGTAGTGATAATTTGCATTATGTGAATAGTAGTCAATATTTTCTAGTCTACGTGGATCACTTTATTTGTACTAGAATCACTAAGAGTGTTAGCCTCCATGGGTGGTGCCCTAAGTTTCTCCCGATTTCGTCAGCATCTGGCACGATGTAATTAATAATGCAGCTGATCAGTGGTCACTGATCATTACACAACCACGGAAGCACATCCTGTAGCTTTGTTCTGCAAGTTTTGCCCAACAGTCCTTGAACTGATATTGATTACTCCTATTCACAATCTCATCCCCAGACATCATTCTAAGAAAACTAGCAGCACACGATGGTATGTAAAGCATGTTAAATGTCCCAAAATGGTATGATATATGTTAAATGCATTCCATAAGTTCTTTTTTCCCCTGAACCGTTTGCACTTCGTAGTAATACAGTGAGATACTATATATGACTGTGTGCACAAATTCACCCTAGTTTTTGGTGTTCTCTCCTTTGGCCACAAAGCAAACTGACCAAATCCACTCCACATAAACATATGTTTTAGCATAATGCATTACTATTTTCCTGTCATTCTGAACTATTGGCCCTCTCCATTAGCAGTGCTTCCTGAACCTCTTCTGCTTACAGTGGTGTTCTTCAGTATCTGCAAAAAGGTGAAAAACTCCAAATCAGAATATGTTCGTTTTATTCCTGCATCACCCTAATAGAGTACTACTGGTACTGGCCAACATTTTTTCATAAACAAAAACATTGCAACCCAATATAACTCTAAATTCCATGGCAATATAAAATATAATCCATTAACCAGTAAATCTTTTTGGAGCACCGACAGCTACTCAAGCAGCAATATAATGAATGTTGCAAATATAAGACAATGTTTTCAGTTCTGATGGTACAACAGTATATGTAGAATAAAGACAACGTTATTGTGTCCATGATCGATGAAGCATAGCAAGTACTAAACAAATTTAACAAGATGATAAATAATCAAACAGTACACAAATTTGTATGTGCCAAATACATAGCCAAACCAACGCAAAATAAAATGTACCTGTCGGAGCATCTGGTTCTCATTCTGGAGAGTGGAGAGCCTCTCTTCCATCTCCGAGTTCTTCTTCTCCAGGTCCTTCACCTTCACCTCCAGATCAGTCAAATAAGCCTTCTTCCTCTCTCTTGCCTGTTGAGCTGACACCCGGTTCCTCAGTAAACTTCACAAGTCACGAACATAGCAAATCAAGACAACTTCCAGACCCAAGACAGGATTTACCATAGTACACGTACATTGCAAATTTAAAACAGTAAACTAAAAAAATAGAAGGTTGAGTTAGGGGGTGTTTGGTTCTCTAGGCGCTCCTAAAATTTATGTCACATCGAATGTTTAGATGCTAATAAGGAGCATTAAATATAGATTAATTACAAAACAAATTACATAGATGGAGACTAATTTCCAAGACGAATTTTTTAAGCCTAATTAATTTGTCATTAGCACATGTTTACTGTAGCAACATGTTGTCAAATCATGGGCTAATTAGGCTTAAAAGATTCGTCTCGCAAATTAGTCGCAAGTTGTGCAATTAGTTTCGTAATTAGTCTATATTTAATACTCCATGCATATGTCCAAACATTCGATGTGACAGGAATTTTAGGAGAAGGTGAAGGAACCTAACATGACCTTATTCTTAAATGGTAAAATAAAGAATAATCCGGATCAGGACAAATTTCACATTTTCCCAGAATTCACATTATTGCAACACCAATTCAACTAGGAGGTCAAATTGCACATAAACAATGTTTTCCATAATTTCAGATCATATAAAGTAATTCCCATTCCTGACCGACTAAAATAAAATGCTACACTTGCAAGTGTGCTAACAATTAATCAGTGCTGTATCAGTGTGCAGTAGCATTGCTTCCCTAGGGGAAGCATTAGCATTAGTGTGCTAACTATTAATAGCATTCTTAGCATACCCCTCTATCTGCTCTCGCACGGCATTAAGTATGCCCTGGTGCCTATCAGATATGACACCAACCTCCCTGCCAGGCCCAACCACATGTATCTGGACTAGCCTCAAGAACCATCCCCAACTGTCATTGTTCTCCTTCTCAACCAAATTAAATGTCAAAGGAACCAACTGTTGTTCGCGTTACAGGATATGGCTATAAGAAGTGTGCCCTGGTATTTGCCAATCAAGAACGTACCATCAATGGAGAAGACGGGACTACAGTGCCTAAAGGTCTCGACACACTGAGGGAAGCACCAGAAAGCACGGAAGAATATCTGCCTCCCATCCTTCCATGCATTTGGTTTTGGGATATACTCATAATGCATGCCTGGATTCACTGCTTTGATTGCATTGAAAAGTACTGGCAGCTACTCGTACCCATCCTCCCAGTCCCCATATATCATCTTCCACGCTCGCTGCTTAGCCCTTCAAGCTTTACCTTCAGTTATCACATAACCTCCATACAACGCCTTAACGGTCCCGATAATTGTCCTAACCTTCATGTTGGGTTCTCCCTTTAATATTCCCATCAACCGTTTGGCAATGAGGGTAGATGTCAACTGCCGATGCCTCAATGTCAGCACATGGTCAGCACAATTGTGTGGCCCGACAACTTTTGTGATCTTCCACTTTCCGGTGACCTTTTGCTTCCTTGCACAAACCCTCCATGGGTAGCGTTCCTTATCACACACAACTGTGTAACGGCGCTCCGCATATGAATGCAAGACCTTGTAAGGTCTCTTTCGTATCACTGCAAGTGCCTGCAACCACCTATTCAATGCAGGGAGGTCCTTGAATACCCTCCCATTCTCAATTACCATGTTAGGGCCGGCCTGAGGAGCTTCTAGGAGCTTATCATCACGTCCTTCTGCACACACCTGATCGGAATGAGCAAGATCGCTGAACTCATGAACTCTTGGATCACGGCGGCCGGGAAAGATACGCCTCGGCATCTCAACATCACTCTCTATCAGCTCTGAATGGATTCGAATCATTCATAATTTTAACACTATTGGAGCCATGGAATCCATCTCCACAGTGCACTTGCGCAGCAACAGGGGGCACATCCATATTCTCAGGAATGTCTCCCGCAACATAGTAGGGAAATGAGGAAAGAATGAATGAAATGGATGTAAGGAAGGGGGTAAGCTCCCAATAACCATGCGGTTAAGACACTTACTCGGATGATTCTGTGTCAAAGGGATCTCATGAGGAGGATCTGCCACAGCAACATGAGTCTGACAAGCATCTTCAACTACCGCATTGGAGGCAGATTGAGCATTGGGAACCGTAGGTGCAACCTCCATATCAGGTTCCGGGACGGGAGGGTCGATGTGTGCCTGCTGACCCATTGGTGAGGAAAACCCATGAGGAATGGGATCAACTAACACCCGACGCACAACCACATCCAAACATTGCAGCTGGCTCTTCATTGCCGATCTCACATAGTTCTTCCATTGATCTGCACATCCAATTGGAATCATTCGCCTAAGGATGTTGGGAGGAGAACCTAGGTGCAGTACACCCTCAACTGCAATGCCATCATCATCATCGCCACGGCAATGCAGCTCCTCCCAAGCCTTTGCAACCATCTCACTAAACGATGGCTTCTCATTGAATAGCATAAGCACGTTTTGCATGTCAATAAACTCAACATATCCATAGCGATCGCTTTCAACGGTGCCTCCATGATATATGGTCACTAGGTTGTCCATCTATTTCAAACACGTAACGAAACACATGCCCTTTAGTCCAAATTGCACGATGGATAGTATCTAACAAGTATTTTCTAACAACAAACTAAGTAAATAAGATAATAACTACATACATAGATATAGTGTACTCACTAAATAACTAGATCCTATTTAGTTAACTAAATATATAACTACCTATCTAAGTAGCTATCTAACTATATCTATGTACCTATGTATCTATGTTTCTATCTATCTACATATCTATCTCACTAGATCACTAACTAAATCAACTACCTGAGTCATCACATTAACTAGTAAATAACAAATGCCAAAACTACTACACTATAATCAAAGCTAACTAAGCACGCACATTGCAAATTCACAATTTTTACCTGTCCATCGATGGAGTCGCGGACATCGACGGAGTCGCAGCGGACGCTGGGCGTGGGTCAGGACTACGAGCCGGGCCGGCGGTGGCACGGCCGAGCGCTGCAGGTGCCGGGGCCGGCGGGGGCGCGGCCGAGAACGGCGGTGGCGCGCGGCGGGCGTGGGATGCCTGGCGCTCCACGCGGCGAGGCCGGCACGGCTGGCGCGGCTGAGGCCGGCGGTGGCGGGCAGCACGACGGACGAGGCCGGGCGCGGGCGGCACGGCGCGGGCGCGGTGCGGCCACGGTATGGTCACGGCATGGCGGGCACGGCGCCGGTGCGGCGGGGCGCGGCCAAGGCGGCCATGGCATGCATGGCGCGGGGGGCAGCAGGCGTGGTCGCAGGCGCTATGGCGGTGTGGGCGCAGGGCAGCGCGGCGAAGCGCGCGGCGCGCGAGCGCGGGCGCGGGGCACGGGCGACGGTGAGGGCGGCGGCGGTGCGCTGCTCGGGCGAGGCGAGGGATGTGCGAGAGAGAGAGAGAGGGGGAGAGGAAGAGAGAAAGTATTGGGGCCCATACGTAAGACAGGCTTGGCGCTAGTAACCCTGGCGCCGAGCTTGGCGCCATGATCTACGGCGCCGAGCTCGGCGCCCGGGTTGATGGCGTCGAGCTGCCTGCCATGTCACCGCCACGTCTGCTTCGAGCCCAAGAGTTCGGCGAGACGTGTAAGCTCGGCGCCAGTAACGATGGCGCCGAGCTAAGGGTCCAGATTTTGAAATCTTACCTCCAGAGACATATTTGTGATTTTTGTTTTAAAAAGGCTAAACAATAAAAAATTCGGTACCAGCGCCTGGACTGAGACACCACAAATGATCTCTGAAATCCACCGTCCCGCTTGCAAGGCCTTGTGCAGCCGATTGCGTGTTCTGCTTGGAGTGCATGCACTTGACTCTTGGAGACCAGCTGCGAGAGGGACGAGGTCATCTCCGAATTTCAGGTTTTGAAAGTTAAAAGGAGTGCGTTGTCCGGTATTCGAATTTGATAGTGCTTTTTAAATTCAGCAAAAAGCTCAGGGAAGCAAATCGACACTACTAGAAGATTTGTGTTAAACTCATCCGGCGTACATGCGCTGGCTGCAGGCGCAACGGGGGCCGGACGAGCAGTCGAGCACAGACAGCTAAGCCTGTGTCCTTGCTGCTTCATGCTCGTACCATGAAGTAATAAGTATCTCTCTTAGCATTGGCTTGCATCTAGGCTCCTCGTCGTCCTTGGCCGAAGCTGCTGGCAAATGGTCAAGGCAAAGAACTAACAGCACTGAATTGGGAGTAAGGATTGTCCGGACATGAGGCCCCAGCGCGGAGAGCATGCTGCAGGCTGGATGGATGCTTGGCGTGTTAAAAGTCCTTGACCCACGCTGCCGACAGCAGTTGTTGGGCCATAGTTACGAAAGCATCGCCCAGGCCCATCAAGGAAGATCCTTTCAGGCCCAATTTCTGCGCCAGTGCCTACTCCGTCCTTGGGCACCTCGACTCCTCCCCGCGACTCTGCCGAGCGCCGCACTTCGCTGTTCATAGGTCGCCGTAGTCGGTAGAGGCTCTGCCAAGCGGAACAGGCCCTCCGCCTCTTGCCTCCCACTACTATAGAAACATTTTTTAGGGGCGGCTCGTAATCCTTTGTAGGGGCGGTTTGGCCTGCCGCCCCTACCGAACCGTCTCTACAAATAATGCATTTGTAGAGGCGGTTCCCAGGCCGCCCCTACAAATCGATTTGTAGGGACGGTTCCCAGGCTGCCCCTACAAATGGATTTGTAGGGGCGGTTGGTACTACAGCTGCTCCTACAAATGGATTTGTAGGGGCGGTTCGTATTACCAGCCGCCCCTACAAATCAATTTGTAGGGCCGGCTGTAGTACCAGCCGCCTCTATAATACCTGTTTATAGGGGCGGTTCAATCTCCAGTACGTTTTCCCGCAAAAAAAAAATTCAAATTTATAATTCAAATTCGACCAGAACACTGTTTGTTTCCGCGTATTCCATTCAGCGTTCGCGTTGCCGAACGCCCCGCGACTAGCGTTCCGAACCGCGTTCGCGTTGCCGAACGCCCCGCGACTAACGTTCCGAACCGCGTTCACGTTGCCGAACGCCCCGCGACCAGCGTTCCGAACCCCTTAGACTACAAGCACAAGAGTATTATATAAACTACAATTACAAGTCAAATTCACTAAAATATATACAATCCATCATTAAATATATAAATTTCATACACATTGTTATCAACGTCCTAGAGCTAGCCTTTTAGTCTCACGAAGGTGTTGGTACTGAGGTTTCTACCTAAGTCAGACTCTCCGTCATGGTAAGCGCCTTTGACGTGTACAATCTGGTCCAATATGAAGTTGCAAAGATCGTCGATGAGCTCTAAGAGTTGATCATCCTTGTATGGGTCTCTTTTCATTTCTTTCTCTTCTTTCCACTACAAGAAAACAAGTTTTGGTTTAGTATTTCATACCATGTACGAAGTTTTTATACTACGGATGAAGAGGTTCAAACTTACCCTTAAGGGGTGTCTCCTGTAGGCATCGGTGTTACTCATCATAGAACATATATAGTATCCACAATATACACTCTCAGGCTTCTGCTTGGGGCACTATGTGTTTTGCATATGAAAATGTTAAGTAATGCTTTTGACAGCCATGTAATGGAGCACTAAAAAAGTAAGTTACACTTACCGCACATAGTGTTTTTATAGCCAGTTTTTCCTTCCTTGCTGGATCATGCCTTCCGTGATGTTTAGTGACATAGAACCTAAATGCCCTGTTCGAATTATTTTAGCAAATACAACTTGTTAGTATCCAAAAGTAAACATTACAAGTATGTATACAAACATATAAGCTAACGAGGATTGTCGATATGTATACGTCTTGAGAATCGATATGAAGTCTTTGTATGTCACCGGGTCCCTATCTATTGAATCAAAGACTCATGCCATGCTCCTCCCGACATCGACGGCTATAAAAATCCAGTGGTTGCACCACATGCGAATTACAGGCACCACGTGGGTTAGTTACAACAAAAATCAAAGATTACATTCATATCATATCGGGAGGACAAGGACTTACAGGTACCACGTGCGAATTAGATTCATCTTCATTGCTCCCAGGTGAAAGCATGTCAGCATGTCATTGAAGTCAAAGACAATTTTCCTGGCTGGGCTTCCAAATGTGCCGGTGGGGAAGCATGCTTGTATGAGGTCTATACTCGTTGGGAGAACACGCAAGTACCAATCATGGAACCTTTTCATTCCAAGTGGTAGGCGCTAGATGTCCTGGTTTGGTAGGAAGGGCTTGCCTCTTTCATATGTTTTTGGGCAATCCTTTGACCATTTGATGGCATCAACATTTGGATACTGCTTTGCAATTTGGTGGAGTTTGCTAGTGACGGCCTCCTCACAACCCCGTGATGGGACTTTTTTAACTTGGTTCTCAGGCTTGAACTGGTCATGGGAATACCACTTGGACACCGACGAGACGTCTTTCATCGGAACATAAACTGGTCTTATGGTGATTGGATGTTTCTTTCGAAGTTCCCATTCAGGCACGTCCTCATCTTCTTGTGCATCACCTTCTTCAGGAGGCACTCGTTGTTCATGTATCGGCTGTGCTTGTTGAGAAGACTGTGGTATCACATCATGCACTTGCTCGGTACGAGCTGGAGAAGGTTGTGGCATCTCATCAAGCACATGCTCGCTAGGATGCAGGGAAGAATATGGCATCTCAGGAATGTGGTGGTCACAAGACGGTGAAAATATCTCCCTGACCTCAACAACTCGCTCCAAATTTGGGAGAGGGGGAGGCGGCGAAGAAGCAGTCAATATAATGTCCCGTTTGTGCCAAAGGATGAACTGCCCCATAACGTCTTCGAGTAACACCAGCCCCTTGGGAGTTGCATAGTCTATCCTCCACTGCATGAACTCGGGCTTCACAGTATGCACCTCGACCCTAGTGTAGTCCGGCGGTATCTTATTATTGTGGTGTAAGCCAACGGGAGGATGTGCCACACCCATTGCCACCTCCATCACAGTGTTCTACCGGCCGCTGAGAAACACCAAGGTGCAAGTAGTTGGTTCCCGTATGTGATCGACGGGGGTTGTGGCTGCAGTGGAACCTTGGCTGCTAGGAACTTTCGGAGGGCTGCCAACTAATGCCAGTTCTCCCGGCGGCGTCATTAATATCCGTGGCTCCATAGACAGTCCTTGCTCCTCCAGCGCCTTCGCAACTAGAGCCTTCACTTGGAGCTCAAGATTAGTCTCCCGGTCTCTGCCATGTTTCTTGTACATGTGCCTATCCTCTTCGAATCCTTGCTTCCAGGTCATCCTTTTCCCTAGCCCCCTGGTGCGGCCTGTGTGCTCCTTGTTTCCCATGCTAAGGCTAAGCTCGTCCCTCTCTCTGGAAGGATTGAATGAGCCCTTCTCCTTGTCTTCAGCATATTTCAGTATCCTTGATACTGCCTCTTGGGTCTTCGTCTTATCAAACTTAAGATTACCGTCGGATGATTCTGTACTCCTCCCATATATCCAATTCCTTGAGCGTACCTTCAAATTCATCACATCGATATTCCCAGCAGCTGTGGCCTCTTCGTCCATCTTTCTAAACTGCTCTTCCTTGGCATAGTAGCCACCAGGGCCTAGATGATGGTGGTGTTTGTTCCTCTTCGCCAGCTCGGTGTTACGGGCACTGAGCTCCAATACCTCCGGTGAAGTCTTCTGAGCCACGAGCTCCTCTCATTGACTAGGAGTTATGTTGCCAAACTCGTTGAAAGGAGTTAACCCCTTTTGGATATACTTCTTGTTGAGCTTCGACCTCCAACGTCGGAATGACTCTCCCATAATCCTGAAACCATTTTTTTACCAGTTCGTGCTTACCCTCTGGAAATCTAAAACTGAGCTTCAGCTGCCTATCCCATAGTTCAGCCTTTTTGTTCTCCGGTACCTCTTTCTAGTTAGGGATTGCTGGGTTCAATTTATCTCTTACTTGGGCCCCGATCGCATTACAGAATCATCCTTAATTCCTTCGGCTCAAGGATCTCCCCTGTTGGCCCGACCTCCGTTATCACATAGCATGCCTTATTTGGATATTGATTTGCTTTTCTATCCCCTCGTTTCCTCTTAGGCTTGGTAGTCGTGGTTATGTCTTGAGGTTGTGGAGCAGAGGCATCGTGATCCGTCTCTATGGCTGTTGCCTCTGCTCTCCTTTCCTCTACTCCGTCTTGTCAAGTGAGATGTCGCGGACGTCGAAGTCGTCTTTTTCGAGTTTCAGGAGGGACCTGTATACACGACAGGTCAAAGTGTTAGCAGAGGTAACATAGCCAAAGCTTTAGCAAAATTTACAAGCTAAGGCTTTTTCCCTAGCTCCTCGTTCGGGTCAAAATCCTTGTCCAAATCTTCCTCCGATGGCCTACTTCTGGCTTCACGTGGGAAAGGATCCTTGGGATTTACATATCCCTCTTCTGAGTCATCATCATCATCCTCTTCTTCTTCGCCTTCAGCAGCCTCTCCTGCTCTTCCTTCTGCTCCCCTTTCTTCCTCGTCACACTGCTCCTGAGTAAGCATCACTTCTAGATCCTTTTCTAACTCGTTATCGAACTACTCTTGAATAAGCTGGTCCTCTAGTGCTTGCTCCTCATAGGTTGGCTGCTCATCATGCTCGGGGCATCGGGCTACACTGTATGGTGTCCACGACATTATTTCACGCTTTGTTCTAATAGATGCAAGAAAGTGTGCTTTAGGTATGCGAGAAGGTATAAGAAATAAAAAAGGTCTATAAACCAAAGTAGTCCTATAAAACAACAATATATCAAAAAAACAAGTAGTAGCAGTAGTAGAGGCCTCAAAAACATGTCAATCATCATTTGATCATGAACTTGGAGTATCAAGGCATTATAACAGAGAAGAGAGGAGAAGGTAATGTAGGGGCGGCTGCTAATGATGCCAAGTTCCTCACAAGTTCTTGATCATCAGCTCATATTCCATATAATATATGGACTTGGACAATTTCATCATCGGCAAAACAAAGGAGAGGAGAGGAGAGGGGAGATTTGGCAAAAAAAAAACAACAGCTGCTTAGCAAACATAGAGAGGAAAAGGTGTAAAAAAGCAGTTGCTGCTTCCCAAACATAGAGGATAGGAAAAATAGCCAAAAAATAGTTGACTGCTGCCACATGGTTGGAAGACCCCTGCAGATCAAAATCTGGTAACTTAGATGTGGTAAATAATGGATTATAGTAGAGGAGTAATACTAGATAGAGTAATAGTAGAGGAGTAGAGAAGTGTAGCAGCCAGTAGTTAAGAGCAGCAGCCACTTAGATACAATAGT